TGTTTTGTCACACCCACCATATAGCCCTGACCTTGCGCCTTCGGATTACCATTTGTTTCGTTCCATGCAAAACTCTTTAAATGGTAAAATTTGTAACAACGCGGAAGATGTCGGATCACACCTAATTCAGTTTTTCAATAGCAAAGACCAGACATTTTACGAACGTGGAATTTTTACTCTGCCAGAACGATGGAAAAAAGGTCATTGACAAGAATGGACAATATCTAATTGAATAAAGTTATATTTTTAAACAAAAATTCCGAATTTGCCTTCTTATTTGAAATCGGCAATGACTTAGTTGCCAACCTTATATTACCATTCGAAAGATTCGATTTATTTCATATTCGGTATGGGATAATAAAATGATCCCGGATGTATTTAAACAGCTTCCAACTGATTTACTATTTATGGATACGGACTTAATTCATTGCCAAATGACTTGTTGGATCTAGTCTAGATTTCACACTATAATGCCGAGATCAAATTAGAACTATAGAAGACTAAATCTGGTTTATGATCTAACTGATTGAACTTGACTGTTTTGCATTCTGAACACTAAAAAACACACTGATCGTTTCCTACTGTTAAGAGAGCGTTTGAGAGTGCTCGCAACCAATTTATGTATCTCTGCACTGGACCATAACTTACATATCGGATTTGAGAGTCATAAAGTAACTCTCATCACAAGTAACTAGGCTAGATATCCCCTCATAAAATTAATGATTTTCGTAAGGCTAACAGAAGACAACAGCCTTTAATGAGTGAGAGGAACAAAATCCGGTTTTGGATAAATGTGTACTGGACAATTGGGGAGATATGTGAGGAGAAAGAATAAAGAAATTGAAAGAGGAAGATATCGGTACTGAGAAAGGGCAGGAGAAATTGTTACAAAAATGTGATTCACCAATTTGGCGTTCTTTATTCATTAATGAAAAATTAGCATGGGAAGAATGGGGGGTTAGTAGGAAAAAATGAGTTGAGAAACTTAGTTGGCCGCTGAATCAGAGAGATCAGTCATTAGAGTTGTGATATAAGCATAAAATCGGGAATGTTATGTTGCTAATAACCTTACCAGTAGAAGTATCAGAATTAACACAATGCAGTCAAAAGATTTGAATAGCACAGAGAAAGTATATTTTATGCTGGAACAAATCATAGGAATGTGAAAGCAATGGCATAATAGAAGGTGAATGACTGAATGCCATATTAAAGCCAATGGAAACAGACAGTCACTTGTGAAATACCAAGTGAACCCAACTTAGTAAGGAGATGAAATTTCAAAATGAGTTATTGGTTGAAATCTTAATTCCGCGCAATTTTTATATTTGCATTTATTTCTAGCTCACCACGAGCCGTTTCCTCCATAAATGTCGAGAGAAACCGGGGATTAATTGAAGAGGAACCACCTGCACTGCCAAGTCGTTCACATTATAGTCACCGCCATTTATCTCATGCAATGGGTAATCCCCAACCACCTACCTTACCACCCAAACCAGGAGAACTCAAAGAGGAGACCTCACTCTGCAAACTACACTCACAAACTGTTGTCGACGTCGCAGCTTCTAAAAGGAGGCAAGAAGAAGTAAAGCCATCTAGAAGCGATGATCGGAAACATCCCGTATCTGGTAAGCTCATTTCCTTTAGACTCATTACTTCATGTATTCTTTTATAATGCTCACCTATCCCAAGAAGAAGGGAGAAGACCATAGCACAAAAAAATTTATTTTTATTTTTATTAGGAAGTTAATTTACTTCTATAGAATTGGGTACCTAGTTTAATGCTATTCGCAGCGATAACTGCTTCAGTGAAAGTATTCGATTAGGCTTTCTTACATATTTTTGAATGATTCGTTTGCTTAGCTGGAGGTCATCATCATCACCATCATCGCCACACGAGACACCAAGATGAACCTCCTGAAGCACCCCATCGATCAAGACGCCGACCTGTTCAATCACCAGCCTTGGTCGGTGAGGATCCACAATCGTTGGGTATTTCATCACCGATTCTGGGAGAAGAGAGGACCCGAGTGAATGCTACGCGAGCTTCACCTGTCATGACAGCTGTCACTTCAGCTTCTACTGGCAAAAAGATACCTGCATCCAAGGATTATATGGAGAAGATTGGGGTAAGATATCTCACGTTTTCGCTATCAGGAGTTTTCATATTAAGAACACTTACAGATTAGTCAGTTGAGGGTATATTCTGTATGAGTCTTCATTAATAACCCTGAAATTTCCATTTAAATTCATGCATAGCTTTGATCTCCTTCCCCTTGCAGTTCTGTTGGATTGATTAAATGCACTTTTCGTCATTGAACTTTATATTCTTTTATATTATCCAAAAGTAAAAGATGTGGTTGCTTTTATTGGGTTGGGTTTTCTAGTTAAGAAAGCGAAATAATCGAGGCAGGTTTTCAAGAAAAGGTTCATTGAATCTACGAATTCTGGACTTCCTGTATATGTGTGGGCCATCTTTCGAACAATTAACATGTGGAGGATAGATAAAACTTATAAGTTTTAAAATAATCCAGTGATTTTCTGACAAATACTCTGCTATTATCATGTAAAAACATGGTCTTCAATGAGTAGTCTCCGAATTTCTGCAGGACCTTTATGGTATATGCAATAGTTACATATAGTTGGCTCCATGAAAGGTGATGGGTCTAGCAAAAGAATAGTTGAGCTATCATCTTTTAGAATGTTATTTTCTATCCCAGCTTAAGACCGATTCAAATAAATTACCATGGGACTTCAAAAACACCTATACCCGCTTATGGAATTTTTAGAAGGATGAACTTATTAAAACCTACATTTTGCATAATATGCTTATAACTTTAAAGTTAGTAATGAGCAAGAGAAGTTTTGAGCAGCAATTAGCATCAAGCTCTTTCTGAAATTGAGATAATATATTTATGATCCGTCTTGTCTGATCGGTAAATGCCAAAATAACTTCAGAAATAAGGGGAAGCGTATTATTCTTCTTAAATATATTCACTTATTAAATAGCCCCAGTAAAGACAAAACTATGCCAGTGTCTGCCACTAATAGCACTTGAAAATCTAGACTGGAGGGATTTTTGAGGCAGATTTTCCTACATTCCCTCCGTCAAATTGCGCCTTTCAGTGTAATCAGAATATGCATTTATTATTTTCATTTAAATTTCAAGTTAGCTTTTCTTTGTACTTTGGGATTATACGAGTATAAACGTACTTTGGTTGCATCAAGTATTGGCCCTCTTTACAAAAGAAATGTGCTTGCATATTCTGTTTCACCTATAATGGCTATGGACGAAGACATTCAGTCACAAATTTTCTATTGTTTCCCCAACCCTTTAGTCACACAAAGCGAGTATCGAGGCTCTGAGAAGAGAACTACGTTCGGTAGAAACAGCCTCATCCGCCGTGACAACAGTGACCAGTGGACCTGCAGTGATCTCGAATATTTCACAATCATCTCGTAGAGGGGGAGACGAGGGCGCAGTACTAAATGGTCGAGTCAATACATTTTCTAGAGGTCTTTTGCTGGAAGGTGGTGGAGGTGCTCAACTACCTTATCCACCACCCTCAATCTCTCCTTCCGACGAAGCTGCTGCAAGATTAGCCGACGCATCGGGGTCGGCGTCTTTCGGAGACTTGAGAAGCGCGATTCTAGCAAGTACTGGAAATACAATGGTTGATGGGCCGAATCAACGGAAAGAGCTTCCGACAACACCGAAAGAAAATGATGGTAAGCAGCAATGCATATGACGAAGTTTCTTTGATTTAATTGGTGGACGTGACTGTGATTCTAATTTTAAGTTCAAAATCCAGGGGGTACGTGATTAACTTCACAGAATAATCTTATCGGAAGGATGCTTCCACCTTTGAAGATAGCAAATAAATACGGGGAAAAGTAATTAGGCTATGGCGCTTTTCAGTGGCACAAACTTTGGCACCACAAAAGAGTTAAACGAGGCAAAGTGGCAGAATATTTGGTAAACAGAATAGTTAGTAGGACATGGAGGGTGAGTGATCGTGTAAGCTTCAGAATACAGAAGATAAGAGACCATGGAAAATCGATAAATAGCTCAAGTGATGAGTCATGCACAGAGCGACGGCTTCAACTTGAGTAAACATCACTTGTGCAGCTCTACTAAATAAAAATTTTATCTCTGCTATATTATGACTGTAAACTGCGGAATATCGGGTGAAATCATCTGGATTCGGGAAACGGAAAGTCACTTTACCACTAAATTCATTCACTAATTTCTTTAATTTGCATAAATCATGTTTTCCATAAGTTTAAAATAAATATTGGGAACAATGACGAGAGAACTGTTCTTATCTCCATTTTTCGTGCGTTTTATTTATTTTTATTTAGTTAGTTGTGACGCCAAAACAGGTAAAAGACATTTCGAATGTAGGCGAAAATTGTCCTCAGGCAATGTTCATTCCCTCTACTCTGCTTTAAGAGTTTCGTTTATTTCATTATCGCAAATAATCGATAAGCAATTGCTTAGTTAAATTTGGTATTATGAATTCTAAATTCGTCTTTTTTACATCAAAGGACTTCTTGCCGCACCCCAGGATGCAACTTACCTTGAATCAGAATCTGACTCGGGACCTGAACAGGTGGGTATAAACACAGTGAGACGATCGATACATGAGCCGTCAACCTCCAAGCACACTAAAGCTCCACTGCCGGAAATGTCAAGTCCTGGAGAAGCCCCCAGACCACCCTCTCTACCACGATCATCCAGCTTATCTTCAACAAATTCTTCGGTGTCTTCATCGGTTGTCTCGTATTCTCGTTCACAGTCTCTATTCTCTCACGGTTAGTGTTTAAAGTATATTTGTTTTCAACCTATAGCTGGCCAAGTCAGTTCAATTTATTAGTACCATAGAAATTCGTACGTGTGCTTAATGTGCGCCATAAAGGAAGTTAGCTAAAGGTCAGAGAGGAAATAGGGCTAAATAAACTAAATTTGTTACCTTAAAGCGAATAACACTTAGGGAACTAACTCTGTCATGATGGAAGTTATGTTAACCCTATGTTTTTTTCTTTTCTTTGAGTTGTGTTTTGGTCGTGTAGGTTTGAGCGCCAATGCTAAGCTTCCATTAACAACCTGGGCATTTATAATTAAAATTCCACTTTGCGTTATGCGTATTTGAGGTAATTGTGCTAATAATTTAGCTTCATTTAGCTTGAAAACGGCTTGAAAGATCTATACAGTATATATTTGTATATTTCATTATTAATTATCGCATGCTCTTAAAGCTCCACTTAGAGTTTAGAAGTCTTTCGTCTTAGTAAGTAGCCAATTAAAATGTACCGCGATTAAATTGATGAACTACAGTGTGTCTTCCGCGTTCGATCGATTAATCTTGTATCACATAGCGATAATATTTGGGCTATGAGCGTTCGTGATTAAAAGGTAGTTTAATTTGTAGGGAATACTGGCTGAAATGAGATTGAGTTGAAGGCTATTCCTAATTTCTGCTCTCTCTCTTCCTCGAAAACAATTGACCATTATTTTCACCATTAAATAAAGCTGACAACACTGCGAATTCGTAGCAAAAATTTGTACGTATAATCCTTCACAGCTTTCTCATTATTAGTTACCAATCTCTTCTGCATAATTTTGGAAATACACTGCTGACTTTTTAGTAATTTGTACAGATATCATCAGTGCCCTTAAAAGTAATGTCGACCATCGACAAATTGTGAAGCCATTTTATTAGAACTCTTTCATGAAATGCTATAAACCCTAATTGACGATGTTCAGTTTAATAGATTCCAAAAAGAGTTTTGATATCATTCATTTTTTTTAGATCATTATTAATAGTCCGTTTTAGCTGGAACGTTTTCAATCGTGCCTGGTAAAACTCAAAAATGGCTTCTTTCTGTTTTCAGCTCACATCAAGTTTATTTCTAAGATTAATCTGCTAATTATTGTGGCAGTATTGCATTGTAGCCATCTTTCAATTTATTCAGACAAAGGGAAGTATTTTGCGTATACTTTTCCATGGACATGTTCAGCGTTTCCCTGTTGTGTTGGATATTGCATACATATCAAATGAAGGCTATTTTAAGCAAATTTTAAAATTAATAGAAAATAATATCCTAAAATAATGTCATAATACTTAAAATTGTTAGGATTAGATTAAATTGGTCCTTCAGGTCTAATTTTTTATTTTTCTTCTGAAAATAGGAGCTGCAGTTTCAGACAAATCAAGTCTCTCTCAACTGTCATCATCCTCAGATCTGTCTTCCGATACAGACCACAGTTTTTCCTCAATGTCAACCTCTCCTGAACGCTATTCACATCACCGACATCCGCATCATCATTACCACGCCTGCCCCGAATGCGTCTCCCGCTCTCAAGGTCATCTCCAGTCTTACCTCAGTGGTGGTGGTGGTAGCCATCGTAGCCTATCCCGACATATCCAACGCCACTCAGCTTACTTCCAGGAACACAAGACGGAAGGGAAAAGAAGCAAATCTAGCCACTCATCTCGCAGCGGTGGACGACATCCAGATTCTTCTTTACTGAAGAGTCTCATCAACGATGAGATTGCACTAGAGACGATAAGTCGTCAGCAGAAACTCCTAAAGAAAGAGTTAGAGAAACAGAAAAAGCTAGCTGCCGAACTGGAAGAAGCTAAAAGGCTTACTCAAAAGCTCCTTGAAGAGAAGGTGCGGATGGAAAAGCAAATTGAAGAACCGAAAAAGCGAAGTTATGAAGAAGAAGAAGAAGCAGACGCCAAATCATCATTAAAAGAAAACCAAAGGGTGGATGAGGAGAAGAATAAGAAGAAGAAAGAAGAATCTCCGGTTCCTAGTACTTCTCATCATCGTGAGGGACATCATAGGTCATCGTCCTCCGGAAAGAGACATCATCATCATCATCATCATAGAAAAGGTCATAGACATCGAAAGTCCTCAAGTGGTTCTGATGAGGAACGAGGCTCCGATGAAAAGTCCAAGAAATCGCCTTGTGCTCGAGTTTCATCAGAAAAAGGGTTAAAATTCTTGTTTATTTAACATTTCTCTAGCCCCAAAAAGTTATTCAACAAAAAGCACAAAAGATCGTTCATGATCTTGATTATTTGTCAATATTATTCGAAAGTGGAAAAAATATTGCAAAAAATCAGTTTAAATTGATTCAAAATAGCATTAAGATGGAGCGTTTATTTAGAAACAAGCATTATATCACGAATTCAGCTAACCAAAATTGATCGGTTCGGTAACTCTAACTGCATTACTTGTCGCGCATCGTTGAGCATTGATCAAGCCGCGCCACGGTCAAAATGTACGAAAAACAGAGCAATAAGTCAAGACAAAAACATTATATTGTGTAAATTATCTGTAAGACAGAAGTTAGACTCATACTGGCCTTCGAATCAGTGTCTTTTAGTGGAGTAGTGATAGCAATTGTAGCGGTACTAGTTGTCCCCACCACCAATAATTAATTCTGCCACATTTTTTTTGTAATTTAATTGATCCCTAATTTCATATATTCTCATTTGCACTGCCTTCTGATTGTAGGTCGGAAAAAAGGGAGGAGGACTCGAAAGGTCGAGGTTCACATCAAAAGCACAGTCACTCGAAGGGGCGACATCGTCACCACCACAAAGCATCAAACTATGGTGAAAAGGACGATCAGGAAAATGCGTCTTTAAAGGAAAAGACAATGGCAAAAGCAAAGAGAGAGAAGGAAGAAACCACATCTCCAGATATGCACAAGCTCCAGGCACAACAAGCCTCGGGAGAAATTAAGCAAGGTATTTTCTTTGTTGCTTTCATTCGACTGACGTCAATTTCCATTTTGATGGGATGCCTTTTCTACTCGTTTGCTTTCAGTAGGTGGGAAAGCTCAATCTGAGTTGGATTGCAAAGTGGGGATTTTTCAGCAATTAAATGACGAGCTACCACCTCCCCCACCACAATCACCTCCTCCATCTCAATATGAAGCGAAAGTAGGTCTTACCATGAAGAACATTTTCCAGAGCGAATTAGAGAGATAAATTTTCAAGAATCTTTAATTTAGAAAGGATCTGCAATCATTCCTTGCTTAGCCAATGTTATTGGCTAATCGTTTCAGTTTTAAAGAATCACTGATGGATATTTAAGCACTTTGAGGCATTCGGAGTGCTATCAAACAATAGAAAGTAAATAACTAGTTGATTTAGTGGCTTTCTAGTTGGAAGTCTATGAGTTCCCTATTCTTCTGTCTTCACCAGCCTAAAGTTCTTCACTGAAATGCTTTGTAAATGTTCGAGTCAATCATTGGTTCATACGTCTAGCTCATGAGATATCAATTGAGGACTGAAAAAATAGCCAAGTTGATGTCTTTTCAGACTTTTGGAGGTCTATCTAATAGAGATAGTAGAGATAATAGTAAGTTAATCAATATAGAGGAAAATGGAGCAGTCTTGAAAAGTGTTAGCAAAAATGTTGACTGATTGGTTAAGTAAAGTTTGAAGTACAGATAATGGATAACTTTGGAAAAATCAATAACCTCTATAAGGGTAAAATAGCGAGTCTTGTGCTGCATAGAGTAAAGGAAATGGGCTAAGCCACTAGGGTCATTGGGATGAAATTTCAACATACGTTAGAGTAAGGCTGCTATATTTTTGTCATGTAGAGTCTTTCCATCATTTTCATTTCTTATTGTTTCCCATTGTGTTTTCATTTTTTAAGCATTGAGGACCTATCTTCATCAAAAGAATTTAAATTTAATTTTGTGATCGGTTAGATACCTGTTAATGGACTTAAGCATTCACGCATGTTCGGTAACCATACCACATGTTTCATACTCAACTTAGCCAATCCTGTGAGGGTTCTAACAAACAAACCTGCTTACTCTTTTCAGAGTCCTGAGGCTCAAAAGAAAAGCACCCCGAAAGATGTTTTATCATCACCCCAAAAAAGAGACGGAGGATCTTCTTTCCCTCCAACGTCCGATGAAGCGGGGCTGGCCAAGGATATAATTAAAGAGGCATGATTTCAATTTGAATTAAGAATTTACTATAATGTCCATCGTGAAATTAAATTAAACATAGCATGATGCAAGGTGAAACTAAGCGCATTGGAATTAGTGTAAATTTCATTTTGTAGGCATTGAAGCATTCATATTCAAAAGAAGAGGAAACTGCGTTGTCTGATTCCCCCTCATCCTCTTCCACCCCTTTCATGATGCCTATTCAAACGTCTAACTTTTCAAACGATCTTCCTATAAGTGACGTCACTAAAAGGGTGGGTTTTTTTATGTTACATTTGAAAATCTTTTTAACCTTCTTTTTATAAGGTAGGCTATATATAGTTGATTTTATATATTCTTATTTTTTGTTACTGATTTATTCTAGTCTTTTACACTTTTATCAGTATTCTAATACATCTCATTTCATATCCATTTTTCATACAGTTGGCTGCAATTTCATTTGCTTAAGCTTTCTATTCAATGGAAACAATCAGATACGTCCTAACGTGCAAATGTAATTAATTACGTTATGCTAAGTTTTAAGCAGATACTAATTTGACCTGGTTTTATTAAACGTAATTTAATCTCTAGAATGTGTTTTAGGAGATTCTTTCAAAGCATTTCTCAATGCTATGACATTTAAATTTTGAAATGTTTACTATTTCCTTTTAAGCAGCTAAAAATAAGAATGAAAAATATCTATGGAGAACCGATCAGTAAGATTAACACCACTTGAACCTATTTTTCACCTTATATAATGCCGAGTTTAGCGAATGCTAAACACACATAACCTTTGACTAAACCCCCGCAATCTCTTTGGGAAAAGGCTCAAGTGTTAAATTGCTCCCAAAATTGGCTAATCTACCTCAACAATATCGATGCTGTGAATAGAGATTATTGTGGTTTTCACTGCCCCCAACGATTAGACTTTAAAATCCAATTTTGGCTACACTAACCGTGCAGCGACTATTGACTGTTGGTTGGCTGCGCGTCTTTGCTCTCACAGCCGCACTTGCTCTCTAACGCGATCAGCTCACATGGGACATTCCAGACTGTTCGGGCGCGTTAGAGATTCCTTGTTTCAGCCCTGGTAGAGCGATGCTCATCCACACTGCTGACTTTACCACTTACAAATAAAGCTCTTAATTGAAACTTTAAGGTATATTAAAACTTTCCTAATTTCAAATTTAACATCTTTATAAATTTTTTTGGCCAATTAAAACATTATAAATATGCACTAACACTTAATTATTTCTCTAGCGCACTACTGATTTAAACCAATTACCAAGAAAATAGTTTGCCCGCTTCTTCCTCGTCGCATGTAATGAAAGTGAATCTTTCATTTGATTAAACTTTAATAGAAAACAAGTGCTAGCAGAGGTATAAGCGGGCTGCAAGCAAGCTAACATAAATTACAAACTAAGAAGACCTACGATGTATGTTAATATAAATATTATTCGTATACTTGTATGCAGGAGCATATTCGCATCAGAAAGGAAATAGTTGAGGTAATGTTTAGATGATTTTATCCACAAAGTTAGAGATGATTATTCCGTTCTCCCAGCATTAGAACATGTGTTCTTGATACTTCAGACGCTTTCTCTTCGAGGATATTTTATTTATTTCAAATGGCAGGCGTTATGATAGGTATCATTAGCCCTTTAGTTGACTTCGGGCTTCACAGAAAGGAAGATGAACATCCAACTGGTAGAATAATGATTCACAGACGTAAAAGAGACAGACAGACAGACACAAAGGTAGAAAAAAGGTGAGTACTGTGAAATTAGTCGAATATGAAATGCGGTGGGGTCTTGGTAGTTTGAAGTCAGAAGTCAACTGCCGATTAATAGACTTTTTTGCCGTATGAGTATACGTTGTCCAGGGTGCACCACGTGGAGGTAAGTCTATCGCACACCCCCTCTTCGAGGATATCATGCTTTGTATTCGATGTCAGTATTGAGACCAATATGATTAAACGTGAATTATCACTATACGACAAAATAACCATAAATTTGTTCCCAGTAGTCCTTGTTAGTCGATACGCCTGAGAAACTGTACAGAAGACGTAACTTTATCTTTGTTACCTCTAGAAAAAATCGCTGGAAGGTGGTTTCATGAATCCAATTGAACTAACCAGTACATGTTTGGAACCCGTACCAGAAGGTCGTGTAGCAGAGTCTTATATGGCCAGTCGCCCCTACCGTCAGGAACTTAGCACCTTTATAGGAA